TTAAGTCAGACATTTTTCGTTTGGAGTTGTCCATCAGGGAAACCATCCAATCGGTCGAACTTGATTTAATATATGGCGATTGTTGACAAAAAATTATAACTTTCCTATAATTTCACCTATAACTAATGTTCAAGAAAGCGATAGGCGCTAAACGGGCGGTGATCCAACGTCTATTGGGTAGAACGCTTAATCGGAGTCTAGCCGATTTGATAGGCGATCTAAGCGTTTTACAAAAATACATAATATATTCGATATATATAGTAAAATATATAAAAATCATAATTTATAAATAATAAAATTTATAATGTATTTATATTCATTATTTTATAGTAAAATATATATAAAATATTACGATTTATAAATAAAATAATTTATATTATTTTATTATTATAATACCATTATATTTTAGGTGGCATAAGTGGTAATCTCAACGGTTTATGGGGGTCTAGCGTCTAAGTGTCGTATAAGCGGACGCCTAGAACATTTTTTTAGAACACTGCTTATAACTGATTAAAAATCGATTTTTTTTTTGGGAAAGGAAGAATATATTTCGCTGAACCGAATATGAATCAAAACTATACATAATATATTCGATTTTATTTTGAAAATTATTTTATTTATATACCAAAAACCCAAAAGAACCGATCAGAAATTTGGAATTGGACATCCTTATTCCAAATAATAACTGAACTGTGGGATTATCTTGCATCTAATCAACTATTACCGGATCCCACCATCTTCAAATCAAGAAAAAATTCTAAAATTACAAACAAAATTCTGTTGTGAAAGCTATAAATCGGAAGTACATTCACATCTGATAAATTGTTTCAAGTTTTGCAAAAAAAAAACAAAATACTTGCAAAATGTCATCTGGTCTCTCTTTATTGTAATTGCATGTAATCTTGGAATTTTTTTTTGTCACATAATACATGTGGATAATACGTATAGGGTTACTTTGAATTAGGGTTAAGTCGAAATTCACAAAGAACGATATCCAAAAAGAGCAAACTGAAACACTTGCTTTAATATGTAGAAAGTAAGTGAAATTATGTAAAGCCAATTTTATAACTGAAACATCATTGAATTTCCGTGTCTCAACCACTGACTCATGATCGTTCTCTAAAAGTCTATAAACACACTGTGAGTGTGGTCGTACGTGGCTCTCCATGACCCCCAACAATCCAATGTACTTATCTATTCAATAAACACATTATCTATTCTTGATTTTGCGGTTTCTAAAAAATTGTTGTCGATGTTCTCCAACATATTTCAAATAATTGAATCCAAATTTTAAATATATAGAGAGAATGATTAGTAGTGATGAATACGTGAGGACTCGGCTACCACCACAAGGTCCACAACCCTAAAACGCGTTTTGCTCCACCATCCTCCAAAGACGTCCATGAAGACCCGGCTTCTCTTCTCCAAGAAGCTCTCTCTCATGTTCTTGTCTATTACTACCCTCTCGCCGGAAAACTTCACCGGCGTTCCCACGACCATAACCTAGAGTTGAAGTGCACTCCCGCAGACGGAGTTCCCTTTGTTAAGGCGACTTCCGAATGCACTCTTGCTTCTCTCAACTATTTGGAGGACATTGATGAAGCCTTATACCAACTTGTACCTTTTGACGAAGCTGTGATGACCTCTGGTGGTTACAACGTTTTCGCTCTCCAAATCACTCTCTTTGCTTGCGGAGGGATCACTCTTGGAACGGCTCTCTCTCATTCCCTCTGTGATGGTTTTGGTGCGTCTCAGTTTTTCAAAGCCTTAACTGAGTTCGCCGCAAAAAAGACACAGCCTAGCATCATCCCCGTTTGGGACAGACATTGCCTCACCTCTAACAACTTTAACTTGAACGGTATATATATAWGTGAACTAATTATATCCAAATATCTTTGCTTTTTAGATTTACCKACACATAATTAAAAGATAATCTTGTGTGTCTTTTTTGGGGATATTGGATAAAAATGGAACGATAAAGAGAAAATTAGCATGGTCTTTGCGCAAAAGAAAGACGCACGCCCAATTGAGAAATGATTTAGAATAAAACATCTCGGAAA